TTCCATTTTCAGTGTTTTATTAGAGTGTAACTTTTGTAATCACATTAGATGTCTCTATATCCAATATTACTACTGCACCCCACCAACTGTAAATAAATTTATCGAAAAAACTCAAAACTCAAAATGGTGTACTTCTACAGCATTTAGCTGCGTTTGTATTTAATGCTACGAAACTTAGAAGGGAAGCCGCCAAAATATTGTAAATAATTCAAATATTTTGTATTTAATGTTTTAAATGTATCATTTAATGTATCAGTTACTAGATCCTATATTGATAACATAATTGGCATTGACGAGATATTTGTAGATTAGACTAAATATGAAACGGAACACTATTTTACGTCATTTGTGTTATTTCTATCCGAGTCACGCTGTCCTGATTGTCGTCTGATTTATTCGAACCAACAGGCATTATAATTTTTTTGTCTATAGTCATTTTTTTTCTTTTAGTTTACTCAGACATACTTCAAAATAAATAATAAAAAATCGAAAAAAAATCAAATTTTGTGAGATTATTACAGACAGATTATTAAAGCAGACATATTTCTGCACACCTGTCTCGCTACTTTCGGGAAAGTGTTCTATTACAATGTAGTTTGATTGTAACCCGGGCAAGGTGAATTCTCCGAGTACCGACTGAGTGTGCCGTTGATGGCGTGCATGCAATACGTTGAGAATGATATTCGGTTTGAACTTTGTTTTTTTAAAATGATTATCACGCGTTGCTTATTTTAAACATCATATGATAGAATGCAGATGTTCTGTTTATTGCCGCATTATTACGGCGACTTACGTAGATATGCTGACAAGACGCCGTAACTTACGTAGATGCGATGATAGGACACTGTGCCTTACGTAGATACGCTTACGGGACGCTGTGTAACTTACGTAGATACGCTTACGGGACGTTGTAACTTACGTAGATACGCTTACGGGTCGCTGTGTAACTTACGTAGATACGTTTACGGGTCGCTGTGTAACTTACGTAGATATGCTTACGGGTCGCTGTGTAACTTACGTAGATGCGCTTACGGGTCGCTGTGTAACTTACGTAGATACGCTTACGGGTCGCTGTGTAACTTACGTAAATGCGCTTACGGGTCGCTGTGTAACTTACGTAGATACGTTTACGGGTCGCTATGTAACTTTCATAGATACGCATACGGGACACTGTAACTTACGTAGATACGCTTACGGGGCGCTTTGTATCTTATGTGGATACGCTAACGGGACACTGCAACTTACGTTGATGCTATGATAGGACACTGTGCCTTACGTAGATACGCTTACGAGACGCTGTGTAATTTACGTAGATACGCTTACGGGACGTTGTAACTTACGGAGATACGCTTACGGGTCGCTGTGTAACTTACGTGGATACGCTTACGGGATGCTGTGTAATTTACGTAGATACGATTACGGGACGTTGTAACTTACGGAGATACGCTTACGGGACGTTGTAACTTACGGAGATACGCTTACGGGACGCTGTGTAACTTATGTAGATACGCTTATGGAACGCTGTGTAACTTACGTCGATACGCTTATGGGACGCTGTGTAACTTATATAATAACGATATAATGCCGAGACACGTCTACACATTGACAGATGTGTATAATCAAAAATAGTTTATGCTACAATAAGGTCGGCCGGGTGACTCTTTGAAAAATGTATTAGCACCGGTCACTGGTAGCATAGTTGTCGTCGCATCAAGCTCATGATTCGTAGACCCAAGTTCAACCCCTACCGTAGTCTGAACATCAAAGGGTCGACCCCTACCCTGGGTGAGTGTGCCACAGCCTCAATGTGAATGCGACTTACGGGAAATCTTGGTTAAGGTCCGTTTGTGTTCGACCGAGCCTGTCAGCATTAAACAAAATGTCATTTGACAGAGAAATAGCCACACAGCCCTGTCATGTAGTCCCAAACATGAATATGACTTCTGTGGCAAAATGGACTATGTGTCAGCA